AGTGTCAACCCCCCTTAAAAACCACAGGCCTGCCAAATCAACTTGCTGACTTGAAGGTTGTTCCCTTCTAAATTGCTTCCCATTCATTGTTACAGAAGACCACTGCAATGTCCATCTTGGGTGTATCAGACCATTTATACACAGCTGGACTGTTACAAAATTTACATGCTTTCCTGAAACTACAAGCTGGAAGTTTAGCTCTTTATTCAAACGCTGACGGTTGCTACAGGATTAAATGTCTTGACTGCAGATACTGCAAGAGTTTGATCTCTATCCTTCCCATGTTCTCCCACTAGGTTGATCTAAATGCACTTGGCTCCAAAATAAGAACACGTTCTAGTCATTTTCATAAGACTGATTTAAGAATCCAAACATATTTGGGCCCAAATTTGCATTTACATTAGACTATAGCTGTCTATGTTCGACAACACACTGGTGTAAGTTCCAGGAAGAGGAACACCATCTACACCCCAAGGCAATTCACAGAACTGTTGGAAAGGGCAACAGGCAAACATTTTTTGTCAGTAAGCTAACACTCCACTATTTCTGTCCTTGTTATTTAAGCCTTTTGTTTCATCATGAGACACAAAGCTGTAAGTGAGCACCGATGCTTCTCAAAACAACAGTAGATATTTTGCACTTTTTTCCAAAGGAAGAATATTCCCATTTCCTTTCCTGATCACCAGAAACACCAGTACTGAGAGGAACAACACAGAAAATTCGATCCAAAAGACACATTACCAATCTGACATACACAGTGTGACAAGGTGGGCATGGAAAAGCGTAATAACTAAAGTGGTGCTAATGTTAATATAGACGCCTGAATGGAAGGGCTGGCACTGCTGTTACCAAAACCCTCATGTTTATTTCCTTTATATGTTGAAAATGCAACTGCACCTTCAGTATCCATGTATATTTTCCAAAAATGGATCTATCATAAGATCAGTAAGGAATCTTACTGTAAGAACCTGTCCTGTACAGAATGTTCACCACGTATCTTCACATGGCATGAAAAGAAAACCTCAGAAAAATGCCAAATTACCAGGTTAAGATTAGCACCCCAACTCCACAGTTACATACTGAAGTACCCTGCAAAGAACAGGAAAAACATGAAACAATATAATATGAGATATAACCTGACTCAGTCAAGGATATAAAAAAGAGGGTATGTTAGTTAATACTTCCACTGTTTTATAAGATTTTATTTATCTTTAATTTACAATATAAAATACAACATTGATACGATTTCATGACTAACAATAACTGCATGAATAACTGCTTCTCAGTGAATTTCAACATCACCCAGAGACATGAAGTTACGTTTGTTGGCAAACTGGCACCACCACCTCTTGTTTCGTGAAGACTAAGCCTTAATGGAAAAACCCCACTTTCTGAAGTTAAGCTTCCACATTAATAACTGACTTTTTCCAAATATCAACCCATAAGCTTCAACCAGGCTTTTAAAGCATAAAACCACCCTTTAAAAGCACCACCAAAACCCTGAAGAAACCAAAAGGCTTTTCAAAAGGATTCCTCTCAAAGGATATTTTTTTAATCAAAAGGCTTTGTGTCAGACAATCAAAGCTTTACTTCATTTTCTGTTATTTTCTCAATTACTTAGCTTATGTAATTCCCCCGAATGCCCACGAGTTTTAAAGCAATTAAAGATACAAGCTGGTAATCAATACCAGTTCGCAGCTTTTCTGCAAGTCTGTCATGTCCAGACAGGTATTAAAAACACCCAGCTCAAGTCAAAGGGCATCACTAGGCAACAGCAGGTATTAGTCACATGCTCTCCAAGAAGCACTTCAAGGCAAGTTACAGGCAAGTTCCTGAGCGTTACAACAGCCTACCTACGTTTCACAAGTGTCAGACATTGTACCTCTCACAGCAAAAATCAGAAGAACATTTATCAGAAACAGATCATCTCGATCATTCCCCCCTCACAATCTCTATACGTTCAACACCCAGAGAGCTTCATTAGCAGTCTAACGCTGTTAAACACAGGCACTCTGCTAGAATAGGCTGACACTACAGACCACCGTGCCTACTGGCAGAGAAATATATACCCATGACTTCATAGAAAAGTCACCATCTCATGTTTAACACATTCCTCAGGCTGCAGCTTCATATTAGAGCTGTGCTAAATCTTGCTGCCATATACAGGACCTGTCCTGCTTCCCCTTGCACAACCTCGAGGCGCAGGTGACTTTTCAGTGTGCCAGCTCTGGCAGCTACAGCAGTAGAAAACCATTCACTTTGTTCTGTATGGTCAGGGTAAGTTTCCAAAGAAAGCCAAGTCAATGTTTACCCCTGCCAAAGAGAACTCCCTTCCCTGATTTCCCCACTGTGGCCACACGGACTCCCTGAGCTGGCTCTGACGCTCCCATGGCAGTAGGGCAGTCAGTCCTGCAGGCATGCCTGGCAAAACACACAGCTCAGCAGAAAAGACATTTCCTGGCACTTTAGCAAGCTGACTCACTGAGCTGGGCTACCTATCACCAAACCTGCTGCTAGAAGTGAGGGACTGCACGAGCAGCTGCTCCCTTCAATGGGCACTCCCTGACCCATCAGGTGTGCTGAAACATGAAATCCATGCCAAGTTGCATGGTCAGGATGGAGAAAAGTGGATGGTGGAAAATGCTACCAGGTACTAGAAAGAAAACCCCGAATTAACAACTGGAAACCAGGATAAAGTTAAAAAAATGCACTTGAAACCACAAAACTATACAGCCAAGAGCAGCCTTCAGTGACTGTTTCAAGAGAGTTTATCCTGCATCCTGCCACTAGCCATAAAATCCACTACTCACAGAGCTTAGTATCAGCTCTTCAAAGAAATTTTTCATTGTTGGAAGTTGTTCAAATCATGCCCTTTCTGGAAGCAGTATTCTGACCAGTCAGTACAAGAGTAAACACAGTTCAATCCACATTCTCTTACCTTTGGCTTAATATGTTTAATTTGGGTAAAATGAAACAATTCCAAGTACTTCTCTCATACTGGAGGCTGGGAAAAGGGACAGCAGAAACTGTCTTTGAGCTAAGTAAAACTGTACATTAGACTCACAACTAAGAAAACACTGTGGCTAAGTTCATTCAAGTGACTTTAATTACGCGATGATTGTTAAACCAATTTGAGAAAACACTTTCTAAAATTCCATGTCTGAAGAAGATTGTAAAAGAGCAATTTACAACGGACAACAGTGTAAAAAAATTACTTCTTTTCATCTTCGTAATCCACAAAAAAAACTAATTTTTGGAAGCTAAAGTAGAGTACTTAGGAAAGGCTTAGTCAGCCTCAAACCTATGAAAGTGATTAAAACATCTGCACTCTTAGGAGTGTAGTCAAAATAAAAACAGTCAACATTTAACTGAACTGACATAAAAGCGAACACATTACCAGCGAAATAGCAGTGTGTTTCCATACAGCAAATTTGTTGTTTAAGAAGTATCTGGGAGGCTTTTATTACTATATGTTACATCCATACAGAATGAGTCCCTTTCTAAGCAGCTGGTTTGTTCCTTAGAAGGTTACGAATGGAAAGCAGGTAACCTCATGTAAGGAACCAGTCTCCCAGCAGAGGTCTGAGCTAAGAGGATTAAAGGGTCAAAATTCCAGCAGATGGAGAAAGGTTTTATCTGCACATTTAAGAGGCACAGGAACTCTTAGATAACAATTTAATTATAGAAAAAACCCACAACAGTTTCTCAGGCACTCAGACTCCTGAGTTGATATTTTTCACTTTGTTTTCATCCTTGCAAATGTCTACACACTGCAGTCAGCTGCTCAGAAGAATACATTAACACAGAGCTCCGTCCTACTGCAGCTAGAACATTTCCTATACCTTCCAGGCAGGAGAAACTGAGGTACAGCACTTTGATAAGCTATTATCCTAGTTAAAGACGACAACCCCAAAATGTCCAGGTTGAAAGCTGCACTTCAAAGAACCAGAGACTGTCATGAGCAAAATGCTGACTACGAGGCACTTGCCTTCTACTGTTTTTAAAAAGGCATTAAGCTAGTTCTGTTTTCTTTCTGTTACCTTATTTAAGTCGCATCAAACTCCATCGGACTGTGTGTAAAGACAGTTAACAAAGCAACACAGATAACATCTGAATGCTCTCTCATCAATGAGAGAAACTACATACGGCATTATTTCATCTTGGAAAGAAAGCATGGAAAAGATAAGTTATTTCTTGTAGCCTTTCCCCACTTTACAACTGGAATTGCATCATCAAATAAGGTGTTTAGAAATAGTAAAAGCAGCAATGACTCTGTCCAGAACATTCATCTGCAGTGACTTCCCAGCTAAACAAACCTATTTATAAAACCAAGCAGGAACAACAGGAAATAGCACCATAAGGATTATAAGAGATTATGAGCCACTATTATTAGGATGTATTTTTGCATTATGGTTCATTTCACCTTTTAAAGGAGACTTCCATCTCTGCGGGCAGAAATTTCTTAGGTTTGTTTAAATAGGTGCTTTTTCTCTGACATTTACATCACCAGCATGTGCCTATTCTTATTGTTATTAATGCTCAGGCATTAAGGATTTTCATTCTGGGCGTCAATGCATGAAAAATAAATGTCTTAAGCGATGAGTTAACTATTCTAACTGCAGGAACTTCACAGCTTACTTAAACACAGTAACAAATACTTTTAGTCATCAAAATATACCAGGATAGTGATGTACTGTCCACAGTCAACAGGAAATAAGGCAAACCAAAATTGTATTGTACCACTCATATGTTCTTCCAACCATTCCATATAAATTGTAAGCTGAATCACCATACCCTTATCAGACAAACTTTCCATTTAAGCATTCTATAAGCATTAGAATGTTTTCTCCTGAAGAATACAGTAAAAATCAGTGATTAATTCACTTGGATAATCAATTACTACAGTCCTCAAAACTGAAATGTACTGTGTGAGATAACAAACAGCACTGCAACAATCCCTGGTGCAACAGTTGCTGCAGTAAGAGAAAAAGCTAAAAAAGTAAAAGGAAGTCAAAAAACTTTATTCACATCAGAAACTCAGACTTCAATGGAATTTTCCTTTATCAAAATAACCCCATTATGGTTACTTACATCTTTGCTGTAAGAGAACTGTACAATATATATATAAATATATATCTATAAAAGAAAAATCAACTTGTGTGCTTCTTCAATCATCATCATCTTCCTCTTCATCACTGATCACATATTTCTTATGTTTCTTACTTGCTTTGTCATCATCCTCTGCTTTTCTCTTTCCAGAAGGTTCCCCTTCCTAAAGGCAAAAAAAGGGCAAAACTCAACGTACTTCAAGCTAAACAGAAGACTCAGAAGAACAACAAAAAGACCTCAAAGTCTTTCTTGTAAGAAAAGCACAATTATTTTCCATTTTGTGTAGTGTGAGGCGGAACTGCTTATGGATCAGTACTTTAAGTTCAGTAAACATTTTCTACCAATATCAAGGCCCAACCTGAATGGGTCCATAATACATCTGCAGCTCCACTTACATCAATAAACATGCAACCATATCAGCTTCAAGCTGAACTATGGCATAGAAGTAATTTATGTCATAGTCTGGATTAATGGAATGTGCAATATCCTTCTCAACAAGTCTTACAAGCATGGGTAATTCCTAGAATTTGTAGTGAACTTTTCAACATGTAGAAGCTTTCCCTTCACACAGCTTTGCTCAGCTTTCAGACTACCGACACTTGTATGCTCTAAGTCAGAGCTACTGAGGCAAAGAAGAAATTCAGTAAGCAGGTAGGCATTTCATTTGTTCATTGGAAAAAAAAAAAACAAACCAGCAACTATATCACTCTCTGGCATACAGGAAGAAGACTGGTGAGAAATTGCTAGTACTGAGAACTAACATTACAGTTTACACTCCAAGAAATAAAATGGTTCAGGAGGCTTCAAAGAGCTAGTCAAAAGAACTCAAATCACTGAATTAGTTACCTTTTGCAAGCAATACCATAATGATTTTATAGGCTGGATGTCCAATTTTTATCACCTAAATATAGTGTCAACAGATTTATTTTTATCCATGTGCATTTACATAAGCTTAGTTTAAAACCTCCTTCCAAACAACATTTTAAATCAGAATGCAATGAAAATGTGTAATCAAACTACAAATCACTAGTTATTAATGTAAAACTCATCCATTTTGACATGAAGTACAAGAGGTAACTCCGGTATTGTTTAAAAAGAAGAGTATTTTAAAAATGCCTTCAGGTCTAAGCAAGCTCATCCCTTTCTCCATTTGTTGGTTTGGGGGTGTTTTTTTTTGGTTGATTTCTTTTTAAAGCAAGACATATTACTCAGATTTTAAGCAGCAGCAAAGAATAAGCTTCAGAACTTTAACGAATTATTGGAGTTTCAGAACTCTAATGGTTTTTATTTAAAGCATCTTATTCTATATTAACACAGTGAGAACCTAGGAAAGGAATTTTAAGCACGGAAAACAGCCATTAGTATGGGTGGGAAACTCAGTGATAGCTTCTTCCTCAAAACAAGCATTCTCTTGTAATCTAGCCAGGCTATTGTTAAATGATTCATCTTCCTGGTTAACAGAATATGCCCATTAACTACAGTAACAGTAAAACTACTTGCCCTGTGTTGGTAAAATGTATTCATAGCAGACTGACGTTTTCAGTAATGGTAACAAATTATTAGGACAAAGATTTGTGCTGTATTGTTGACTGACAGCACATAAAAGTCTGTGTAAGAGGAAGTCAGTGTTTCATGTATGTGCATACATATTACAAATACCACACTTCCTACATGGTGACGGAAAGTAAGCAGTCATGATTCATCCTGGGGTTTTTTTCATAACACTGTAGCACCCCTCCGTGGCCCTGATGGGAATATTACCTGTAAGTCATCTAATTTTAAAATGGAGGCTATTGTTCCTCAAGCAGCAGAGAAACGCTGTTGACTAGACCTGTTAAGAAGAGGCTATATTGCAGAAACCTCTAAAATTCAAGGATAAGGTTTTAGCCACTTCAGCAGCTATTAAAATAGCACACTAGAGGTGACTGTAGGAAATCAGCTGAGAGACAAACAGTAAAACAGGGCAGGAAGATTAATCAAACTAACATGCCAATGTAGAAACATCTCTCATACCTACAAGGTAGTAATAAGAGCCTGTTACGCTAAGTTAGGTTGTATTTACTATTTTGCCACATAAGTGAAGGTGCCTATCAGCAGAGCCAGGTGCGTCCCAAACTGCCACTCCTAAGCCAATCTTGGCTTGAGAGCAATGCAAGCACAGCTGCAACTCGGGGCTGCACTGTACTGATCAACAGCAAGATTACAGTAATACAGAACTGGTGATGTCTAAAGGAAAGCAAACTCATGGGCTACTAAAACCAAGGAGGCCAAACACCTGACCCAACCCAATGCCCTCTTGAACAGGGCAGTGGGAAGCCAGCGTCAACTGCCATTTGTCATGAATTCCAAAATTCCCTCTTCTTTCAGCTTCCCAAGGTATACAGTAAAAGCCCTATGGCTCTTTGCTACAGAGGCATTTTACAATGAGGAGCAAAAGTCAGGAAAACAGACTACACAGGTACAGCTGATATAGGGCAGAGTCCATCTGCTTCCTGGTTCCATTTCTGCCACTGGATGCAGATAAGTTTTAATCTCAGAAATGGCATCTATTAATTTTGGAAAGTGCTACACTGCAGTGCTCTGTCAGAAGTCACATTACTTGAAATGAACTAAGCCTCAAGACATGATGTGCACAAAGATTCATCTGCTTAAGCCCAGCAGTGATAAATTATGAACCAATAAACCACAATTTTAGAAGAGGAAACAGCACTACTGCTGTAGCTAACAGTTAACTTGACCATGGCCTAATGTTTAGAATAGTACTTGGCTGATGGATAACATCTATGTAGCAACGGACATTAACTCTTCTTTACTCTTTTTTTTTAGCTCTTCCATTTAATAAGTGAAGAAATACTAAGTGAAAATACTTCTGCTATTTACATAATAAACAGGATAGGACCATGTCGCTTAGGAGGTAACACTGCACTAGGATACAGATATTAAGTCTTCTTATTTCTTGCATAATTTTGGTAAAGTCATTTTACATAACTCTGCATAATTTTTTCCATCTTTAAATCAGCAATAACAATAGTGACCTCCTTTGGGAATCGCTCAGGTCTATGAACTGATGCAGTGCATAAGAAATTGGTGATTAATTGCCATGGAAAGCATGCCAAGTCAAATAATACATTAATCAGAGCAGAAATTAAACTACAGAAGTCTCAGCTTAAAAAAAAACAGATTTAGTGCAGGAAATGTTCCTGACTAAAAATTAGCATCTTAAGAACAAAATTCTTTCCTTACCTCATCACTAGTAAGTTTCTTTGCCTTGAGTAGTCTTTGTGTTTTATCTTCATCCGAGCCTTCATCACTGTCAGAAGAGTAGATTCTAGCACGTTCCTCTGCAGAGAAAAATTAGAAGACAAATATTTAGCTGAAATTGGTGAGGAAGAGATAATATCAAAAATAATTCTCCCACATTTAGTCCCATAGAAAGCTGGCAGAATAAAAGTCCAGAGTAAACAAAATAAATTTACACAAACTCAACTCACGTCTGCTCATGTATCAAATGAACTGGCAAAATACAATTTTAGCAGGACTCTCCCAAGAAATTAATCCATATGAATCACACAGGCCCTACTTACATACTGTTAAGGTTTATTATTACCTCTAATGCCACCTTTGTATCTGTTTTTGATAGCTGCTAGACTGATTGCATCATCTCCCTCATCCTCTTCATCATAGCGATCAGGTTCCAAATAATTTGCACTCAGACCACGCTGATGCTGCTTCTCCCGCATTCTTCGCTGCTGAGATTCTCTGCGAATGGAAGCTCTTAATCTCTCCTCTTCTTTCTGTCCAAAGAAACAAGGAATGTATTGAGGGAAAAAAAACAAATGAAACCAACTCAAGAGGAACTTGTATTCTACTCTAAATTTTGAAGTAACAGTACAGCAGTGCGAAGACCGTGCTGTACTGATTTTTTTGTAATATGTAAGGTTAAGCACCCACGGCTAACAACTCTTGTTTGTAACTCCAAAATACACTCAGCTTTTCATAAAGTCACAAAGTGTTCAGCTGTATTAGGGTTGTGATTTTTTACATTAAATCAGCAGATAAGAGACCTCCCTGCCACAATACCTTAATCATTTCTGTTCGCTGAGACTCTGGATCCCGACCTGCCATTGGCAGAATACGGATTTTCTGGGTCTTTGAGCACCTATCTGCCAGAGACAAAGTCATCTTCCTGTGAGTGGCACTGTCCGTAGAGTGCGGCCTGTTAAAAAATAGCTATGGGTTAAATACTTCTTCAAGCAACATCAGTCAGACCAGCATACTGAAGATTTCAAAGATGCACCTCCACAACAGTAAAAGTACCACCCTTTTTTTCACTAGTATTTGTTTATGTGCATTGTAACAGCTACTGGAGACGTCAATTCCTTTCTCAACAAAGCACCTGCAGTCCAGCCTAAATAACCATCTTCACATTTCACACCAACAGCCCAGGATGTAATCATCATCTTGACAGCAACTGTGCATCAGACGAAAGGTTAATTTCAGGGAATATTCTGATTCAGATGAGGACTTAAAAATGTAAATTAAAATATATATATAAAACAATACATGTAGCCTGCATAGTGCAGTGAATGGCATATTAACCTTTCCAACTGGAACACCTGATTTAGGAAAATCTTACTGAAATACTGACTTTGGAAAATAGCACATTCTTACTAAACAGTTACACTCTGCAAGTTTAGGAAGTAGTATTTCTTATCTTTATATACTAGTTACAGCACTTAATTGCAAAGGAAGTATCATATTTGATACAGAATAGCACGTTTACCTGAAGGTTAATTTTGTCTTGAAAACAGCCTGTCCTTGTAGACCTGTCCCTTGTCTGATGAACAAATGGTTGTGATCTCCCTGTAATGGCGCCTTGTACACGTCAAAGACCTCATTGCCCAAGTGAAGAGACATGCTTAAAAGAGATTCATATAATCAATTATTTGATAAAGCCCCCACAGTCTATTTTTTTGCCTCATTTCTAAATGGAGAAAGCCTTCATGTTTCTTTTTCAAATACAGCCAATAATTGTATTTCAATCCAAACTAAACAGAGCGTAACATTTTCAAAGCACTGAGAGTAAAGGAATTACTGCTGTGCAGAAGTGATATCAAAATTTGTTGACCTTCCAGTTTTGCAAGCCAGAGCATTTCACTGGAATAACAACTGTATTTCTTGAACAGCACAAAGTCCAAACTAACCTTCCATCTGACCACTTGACTATCCGTGCATTGCTTTCTCTGATCTCATTCCCTTCCTCATCTCGCCGCATTCGCCATCGTATTGTGTTTTCTACCTGTGGGGAAAAATTACAAAACACTGTTTCTAACTCACAGTAAGGAAGACTGTGGTAAAATATACTCTGCATAGGTCAGTAATTACAGTTAGAAAGGCTAGATCATTTGCTGCAGGATGCAAGGAAATGAAAGTGAAAGGTACTGCTTTTATAGGTGAAATGCAGCTGTAAAGCTTTTTTTTATTTACTACTAAAATAGACCAACTCTCCAAAGTGCTGACCTGGTCCACTTTCATAATCTGAACCATAACTCAAAACACCATTCTAAAACACGTGAAATAGACTTTGAAGAAATGTGTCTAGATTGTTTAAAAGATATAAGGAAACTTAACACTATACCTTAAGTTTTAACCTAGTTCTTCCCTCTTCATCAAGCATCTCTTCATCTTCAAATTCATCTTCATAATACTGGGGGTCAAAAGGTCTGCAATAAATTACATAATAGTCTTTACTCTTCTAAAAATTAATCCAGATGATTCCAGAGTTGTGAAAATAACAGGTGTTTGCAATGTTTAAATTGTACACTGCACACAACAGTAGGCACTGCAGCTGTGAGACAGCCATTTCTGCAGTAATGTCATTTACTGCATTGATTCAACACCACAGGAGGCCTACCCAAGCATCTTCACTACCATCCATTACAGCCACTTGAACATTCAGACCCCCTAAATAGCTCTAGCTAAAGAAAGCAAGTGTGCCTCAGAAAATACTGTTTAATTAGCATCAGGATAATAAGGTTGGGGTGAAGTCTGGAACAAAATCTATACAATATTGTACAGAGAAAATAAAAAGAAAAATACCATTTTATAAATGTGGTGAATTAGGGATTTTCTGAGAGAACAACCATAGCCATTTGTTTTTAATTTGAATCTCAAAGCCCATCGAAGGGAAAGGATGAGATTGGTTTTCCTCTCTTCCTCCAACAAACCTGACAACTGGGCTGGGAGTGAGTGAGGGAAGGTCATTCCCTAGCCTCCTTCCCAATAGTTTCCAGGCTGCTGCAAGGGAGAGAAGTGATAAACAGATTCTGCTACTGTACAATCCTATTTTCAGTCCTGTCTGACCCCCAAAGATCCCCAGGATTTCTCTGAATAGAGCCGCTAACTGCATTCTTAACAGTTCTCTCCTGGAAGTCTATAGCAAGAAAGCCAGGAAGAATGATTTAGCAACTGTCCAACAAACCCAATGCTACACCACCAGCTAACACAACATCAATTAAGCAGTGCAGTGAATCTGCTTCACAAAAACACTTCAAGAAATGGCTTTGACAGCACTTTGCTAGAAGTGCTGAAGGTGGAATTTAGGGCCAAACGTAATATCACAAGCAACTCTAATAATTGACTTTGTTTCTCCCTATGAATTCCAGAAAATTTTTTTAGTAAGGTAAATAGGAAAATGAGTAACCAGCCCCTTCATACTTAAAACAACTCATTTAGGATCTGCAAATAAGGGCTCATTCTAAAATTGAAAATGATGTTTTTATCCCGCAAAAGTGCATAAAGATGCTGCCCATTCAGCTTTTATACATCTGAGAGCCTGAACCTATGTTTAAGATTCAACTGAAATAGGACATGCTTTCAGTTAAATCATATTTTTGTTTGTATTTCAAATACAAAAGGTTATTAAATCAAGCTGAAACCCAAGCTTATCAGAAATTACTCAGCACTTGATTAAATAACAGCAATATATATTACTATTGACTGATTGCAACCAGAAGTGTGCATCTTAATGTCAACCATTTTAAATATGGCCAACATATTTAACTGTATTACTAAATCAAAAGTAGTATAGGGAAACACTAAAAAAACCTCATCAAACATGTACTTAATGTGCAATTACCTGGGCTCCACACTAAGGAAGTTGGGCAGCTTCACAAAATACAAATCGTTACCCAAGTCTGTGTTTACTTTTGGTATTTCTACTTCTATTCTAGTCTCTGGAATAGGCTCTTCTTCCTGTTGTTCCTGACTCAGTCCATTCTCATCCTAATGAAGAAAAGGAGAAGAGGAGCATAAGTGAAAATACATCTACCTGGCAACTGTTGCTTTAGTAAGCACTTACATTAGCTTAAAGAAATGTCATCCATGTGCACAGAGAAAGAGATCAAGAAGCTTTGGGTAAAAGAAATTGAAAGTTTTCAGTGAAAGCAATTCAAGTCAGCATTTTCATATGCCATTTAAAAGTGATTGCAAATACCAGTGTAAGTCCGAGAGACCAAATACAGTAAGGAAACAGTAAAGGAGCTGGCATACAGTTTTCAGCTTAATGCTGTTACTCTTTTTCACTAAAATATTATCATAATCAGCTTTATACATTTCAGAGTGGAACAGCATATTTCAGACTTATTTTAAAAGTCAAGTCTACTCACAATGGGCTGCCCTGGAGTTGGTGGCTTCTCTTCTCCATCACTCCCTGAGGAAATGTCATCTGCACCTCCAAACAGATCCATGACATCTGCATGCTCTTGAGCAGAAAAAATGCTATTTTAAAATACACATATATGTATACACACACCCCTATATGCAAGTACACTTACAGGAAAAAAAATTAACACATCCTTCACTTTCATTGCACTTAAAATCACCTACAAAGGTTAGAAATCACTAATGTTTATGAAGCACATACTGTTCTCTTATCCTGAAGAACAGTTTTCCCCTGTATTTTTAAGCTAAGGATTCAAGGTATGTTTTCCTGGAAAGGCTCTACCAAGTAAGTGAATCTAGTCAAAAAATGTCAACCGAAGAATTAAAGGTGTAAGACCATCCTTTCCTCAAGTAAACAAATACGTGTCACCAGCAACTTCATTAACGTGTTTTGAAGGTTTTACTTCTCAGAAGAGTCACCAGCTCTTTCTCAGCCAGCAAAACATCACACAAACCCGCAAAGGTTCCCTGGGCTGCTCTGATTAGAGGCACCATTTCTTAACACCATCAGTAAAAATGTGTGAAACAACATCCACAGAAGAGAAGCTGTCTCTCATGGAGAAAACAGAAACACTGATAAAGCCACCTAGAGATAATTAGGAGAAATACAGCATGTACTTCCCCACAGAGAATTCTTGTTGCGCTGTTTTCTTATTTCCATGGCACTGCAGTTACACTGTCTCACAAGCACTATCAATTTCATCAAGTTCTGTTAGCACTCGTGCTTAAAATAGGGATTAAAGGAACCAAACCCCCACAGAATAATGCCACCATTTACCTTTCTGTCCTTCTGTATCACTGTCTGCTTCTGAATCTGAAGCAATGGGTTTCTTTCTCTTCATTCGCAGGACTTCATCTTCACTGTCACTGCCCCTCGCAGACTCTACTGAGGAGCACAATTATTCTCAGCAAATTAAATATTTTGTTCCACATAATTTTAAATTCCTTTGTATTAATAAGTTGATTCAGATGAAAAGGAATTTAAAAGTGCTGCATAAAAGAAAAACACGACAAAGATGACTGTAGTTGAAAGCACATGATTAATGTACATGATTAATGCCTTTACAGTGAAGCCTGAATCTTTTCAGGCCAATATAAATGAAATGATAAAGAGAGATCAAACCAGAAGCAAATCATTACTACTGCATTCCATCCTACCAGATTTGTGCTCTTGGTCCTCCTCATCAGAATGCTGGGCCCGTTCATCATCAGAGTTCTGTACTTTCTCCTCATCAGAGTGCTGGGCCCTTTCATCATCATCTGAGTTCTGAATCTTTTCCTCATCTGAGGCCTGTGGCCTCTCCTCATCATCAGAATTCTGCATTTTCTCCTCATCTGAGTTCTGGAGCCTTTCCTCATCATCAGATACCTGCGGCCTTTCATCTTCATCAGAGTTCTGTGCTTTCTCCTCATCGTCAGAGTTCTGCTGTCTCTCCTCATCATCAGAGTTCTGCTGCCTCTCCTCATCATCTGACTGATCACTTTTGTCCTCCTTGCCCCACTTCTCATCCTCTGAATGTGCTTTTTCAGAACCATCTCCCTCTGAATGATGACTGCCTTCATCAGACCCATGCCCGCGATCGTCATCCTCATCGTCATGAGCAGCTTCTGAAGCACTGTGCTGGTCCACATCCGACTGATCATTATCTTCATGCTCAGAATGTCCTGAAGCTTCAGAGCGATTGTAGGATCTTTCGGAATGGTTGTCACTCCCTGTGTGATGGGATGCCCCTTCATCTTCACTATCGTCTCCAAATAACTCCTTATTACTAGGTTTGACTGCCTCTCTGTCATCATCCTGGTCACTGTCACTTCCAGAGGCATTACTACCAGAGCCAGCGTTCTCCTGATCAGAATCAGATTCAGATCCAGAGTCCGAATCTGCAAAGCAAATATCACTTTTTAAGACTTAAAATGTCCCCACAAGGATGCACGTAAGATGCTGGGCTTTGCTTTAAAACAAAGAAACAAAAATCACCAAATCTGAAAGAACTTACCGTTAATGGTAAGAAAGACATATAAAAGTCACCTAAAACAGTAAAGTAAAATGTCTAATAAAGGCGAAGCCAATGAAAGACACAATGAAAATGATGGGTGCCACATAAAGTTTCAAACCACAAGCTACTGAATAAGCAATTACACAAACGAAAATAAAATTCGAAATACTGATGGTTTAAAATAGATAAATACATACATATGAGATCCTACAAACGTGAACCTGCCATCATGCCTTTCACCCAAGTTAGCTGTATGAGGTACCCTGACACGCCTGCTACAATGGAGCTGCTCTTGAACGCTGAGGCTGGCAGGTGCTGTTTCAAACAGGGGAAAAAAGGAACACTTGCCTTGAAAAGTAATTTACATAAGTTGACAGAGGCACTTCAAAACCATACAAATGAGTTAAACCGGGAGGTGTTCCATGCGTTCTGTTTTCATTTACAGGATGAGGACAGCTCTCCAGCATGGACTATGGGGACAGCGTCTCAAGATAACGAGGGGCAAACCGGAGCCCCCTCCGTGCCTCCACCTCCCCGCGCCCGCAGAGTTCCGGTAAGGCGCTATCACATTCGGAAGCGCGCTCTGCCTGTGGCTGTCACCCCCCGCTTCCCCGGCCGCGGCCATAGGAGCACCACAGCCACCACAGCCACCGCAGTGCGGGGTCCATTGCGCTCCGCCCAGCCCCGCCGGCACGCAGCGGAGGCCCGGGGCGCAGCGGCGCGTTACCCGCTCGGGCCGCCCCCCGCGGCCGCTCTGTGCCGCAGTGCGGGCGGGCAGCGGGGGGGAGCGCGGCGCCCCGCACCTTTCTGCTCGGCCTCCGAGTCCGCGTCGCTGCCGAAGAGATCCTCCATGTCCGCCATGGCGGCCCGCGCGCCCGCCACCGCACCGCCGGCGCCGCTCCGTGATGCAAATAGGGAGCGACGCGACTACGGAGCGTGGCGCGGCGCCGGCTGCTGCGGCAGGGCGGGAGGGGGCAGCCCGCCTCTTAAAGGGGCCGTGTCCCGCGGCCGTTACCGATGGCAGCGGGGGAAACGCGTGTCCGCGCCTCCCCGAGAGTCATTTACTAACGCAGCGTCCTCGCGAGGAAACGGGCGGATGTGGCTGCAGCCACACGATAGGGCCTGTCAGAGCCCGAGGCTTGGAGCAGAACCGCTCACACGTGGGCTGGCCACGGCGCTGCTGCTTGGGTACTCCGACCTCCCGTTGCCCGCACTTGCCGAGTACAGGTCACCCTGCCCTAACGCTATCGCCATTATACAAGCTCTCCACCCGTTCCCTGCTTAGCGACCACGCTGCGCTTGGACCTGGCTCCTGTTTAACACCGACAGCGAAGGGAGATGAGTGCAACCCACCCGTTTCTATGGGTGAGGCACTGCCCACTCACCGGAGACAGGGACAGTGACCCAGTGTGTCCGACACAGGGAGCATAACCTGTTAACCTGTGCCTTTAGACCCTCCCATTGCCAACTGTGGCTGCCATAACGCTGCACAAGGCAGCCTAACGTTGTTCCCCCCCGACGCCTTTCTTCTTGTGTGCACTGAACAGGCATGAACAATGATGACGTTACTCCATTTAGGGGCTCTTAACTCATCTTCCCGCTGCCTGCTCTGTGAGTTCCACAGCAGTAGCTTGCTACTGCCATTTGGGCATTCACCTTGCTACTGGAGAAAGTAATGGCTTAACATAAACACAAGGCTCAATGTTCAGCAAGTCAAGGTAACATTTAAACAAACCAACCAAACAAAACCCCCAAACCACAACAAGAATACAGTACTTTAATCATCCAAAACTGTCACTGGTTTACAATCTGACAGCATATAGTGCTGATATGCTAAAACACTCAATTCACGTTTCCTCAATGGAAATTTAAATTGAACACTTGCTCGTTTGTAGCTTACAAACAGTATTATTCAAGCTGTAGAGAGAATAAGGCTGTTTCTTTAAAATATAAAAGTAAATAGATAATTGCTTTGGAATACAGGGTATGTTTCCATGCTTAGCTTGGAACCAGCAGAATCAATATATCAATATATGTGGTCATTTGACTTCTGCTTTAAGCCTGAAATATGATCAGGAGGAAAAAAGTATCACCTCTTTTAGAAAAAAAAAAGATTGTGTGGTTATGATAGCTGGTAACCAAATACCCTTTTGCCCTCATAAATAATGAAGTCATACACAAGATCTCACTACATTTGATAGCATTACATAGAATCATAGGATGGGTTGGGTCGGAAAGCACTTTAAAGATCATTCAGTTCCAACCCCCTAGCAGGGACACCTCACACTGGACCAGGTTGCATGTTCGCTTTGCTTGTTGATAATGTTTATTATGATTCCTAGCTATAGACTGAATTCCTTCATTTATTCCTATGAGGATACACACTGTAGGCACTAGAGTGATGGCTGTTAAGTGGTCCATGCACCATGCCACATCTTGCACCAATTTGGAAGGCCAAACCCTTCTGGCTGAAAATAAACCAAACTCATTCTCTATGCCCAGCCTGTCAGATACCTGTCCTGAAAGTGCCAATAAGGAGTCAAATGCTCAGCTGCTGTCTACAGAGCTAAATTCATTATTAAGGTCTACTACTATCATCTCTGACCAGGCACCTGAGTTGCAGCTTAAATGGAATATAAGTCATTAAGCAGCTACCTTGAATTAATAAAGGAAGGGATTTAGGTTGTAATTTTCATAATCCATTTTCATATTAATTTTTTCCATGTTCAAGCAGATGACTGCCTAATTTCTTTGATAACAATAAAATAAATCATCATAGAATCACAACACATGAACAGATTCCACGACCATGCAGCCCTTCAACAAACGAAGGAAGATACTACAGTCTGTTTTTTGACACAAAATGATTATGGTGCCTAGCACGTAAGTAGCACAGCTTTAGGCAAGTTGGCACATGACATGCTTTGGCCATGTTTATACAGCACTGCCTGTAAAAAGACACTTAATTTGTGACTTTATGTATACTATATAAGAACTTGAATTTCAGAATCTAAACAGTTATTGAAAATTTACAAAGCCAAAACCAAAAGAAGCCCTTTCTGTTATGAGTCAGATAGTTTGATTGTTTCGAAGTTACAGATTGCCTTTGGTTTTAACAGAATTAATACTGACTTGCTTTTCAGAGCACACATTTATGTATAACAAGAGGCTGATTTTGAAATAGGAAAACTGTTTTTCCACAAGTATAAACCAGTTATATACATCCTCACTAAAGGCACTATGGTTTAAAATTCTCAGTACAGTTGCAGTAAAATTTGAAGTCGCCTCTGGAGTAAAGTTTGTCTTTAAAGATCCAAAATGAGATTTGCAGCAAATGACAAGGTAGGTAGAGTGTCAGGGAGTTGCTCTGTTAAATTTTTATAGTCTATACAACCTGATGCAAAAATCTCAGGCCAATGTCTTCTATACGTTAAATGCTCATCGTGTTACAATCCTCTGATGAAAATGGTTGTCAGTTGAATTTTCTGTCACTAGAAAGATTGCTGAGCAGTTCTAAAGAACATTTTGGTGATCTCATGACAACAGTGAGCAAACTAGTACAGGACAAACTGACCTGCGCCAAAAAGCCTCTAGGTTTTCATATTATATCAGGCTACTGTGATTATGTACAGAAGTTGAAGTGATTCTTGTTGCCTTATTAATTTGCTTAAATACAGAACTTTAAATACATCATACTGAGTTGACACTGTATATTGGTTAATTTCTGCATGTCTTATGTAGTGTTTCAACATCAAGACATAAGTAGAATAGAAAAATCCTTTCTTAAAAGTGTTACTTCATTATTTTATTACAAAAATGACAGATTTATATGAAGTACTGACAGCTTAATGCAGCAGCTTTTAAAAAAGGATTTTTCCATTTGCCAGTGAATTGGAGCAGTGGTTTTACAGTCAGGGGATTTTTTTCTGTACAAAATTAAAAAAAACAAAACACCACATGTCCACTACTTCTAGAGAAATTGATACTTATGAATGTAGATAAAGATTTTTAAACAAGGAATATAAACTAAATGCTGATGAACACATGAAATCGATCTAAAACTATGCCCAGTTCAGATACAGAGCAAGATACAGTCATGGGATCTCTTGAAAAAGACTTTCAGGGTTTAGGTGTAATAGAAAAACTTATTTTGGAAGGCACTTACTGGTTTTTATTATTTTTTCAAGGCTTCCACTTTTTTATTAGTCTCTCAAATATCTTGGAAAAAGTCCTTTGCAAATTTATTTTTGTTAGGTTTAAAGCGATGTCTTTAATTAGTCACAGTAAGTGACTAAAAGTAGAATTACAACTGAGATAGCTGTGAAAGATTTCTCTTCAGTGCATGAACAAGGCTGAATAGCTCTACACAATGAGACTGTTGTGTGAAGAACCCCTTATCACTAATGCATTGTTTCCAAGAATATACACACCCCTCCACGTAAATAAGCACCCCCAGATTTTCTAACAAACATTTCAATTGGGTCATTATCTGACCAGTGACTCTGAATGTGCCATTCTTTAACTACAGACAATTATAACATTGATTTGCAATTACATTTTTAGCAGAAAGTACAGCCAAAGTCTTGAAATACAAAAAGTTCTTAAAAAAACCCAATCAAAGACTGTGGTACAGGAACTGGTGCAGTTACCGTGTCTCAATCTGAAAAACATGATGTATACCAGCAGATTATTCATATAGCTTTGCTTTAAAAGGAATGGGGTTTCCAGTCTTTTCCCTTCTAAGCCAGGTAAATGTAGTCCAACATTGCCGAAGCCCAGAGTGATGACCATGCCTGGACGACCCTTGAAAGCTCCACACAGTTCTGACAAGAAGATCTGCTAGATATCTCCTTCAACCCTCCTCTTGCGAACTGTAATGAGAGAGAAAAAGGGTTTTACTGGTTTATCATTATAACTACTCTTCATATTTCTACAACACAAACAGTTGCCGCATAAAGCTGGTACGTTAGCAGAGTGTTATCCATCATTTTAAGCTTATGCTTTAGCAGTGCTTATTGCCTTATTCATGAACAGCTTCAACTACTTGTGAGGAGAGACTTGTGAAAAACAATCATTTTGTTTGGTAAGAAGATTTAGCCTTCACTCTTTTTATACATCGCAGTTTTCTCACTGAAATTTACATGCCTTCAAAAGAAACAGTACAAGAGTTTCACAGTGCATCTAATATGATTGATACACATCACAAAAAAATGTTACATTCAATATCCTCAAACATTCCGGTTGTTAATAAAAATATTCAATTGTCAAAAAAAGCAAGTGACAGATTTATGAATAAAATCATTAAAAGCTCACATGCTGTTTAGACTTAATACGCAAGATTGACAATGACTGGAGTTTTGCTTACTATCTGTAGTGTTCTTAATTGATATTTTATTCCCCCCCCCCGCATCAAATTGTTTTCCTTTTCTGTGCAGACATGAGGCTAAATGTCTTCAAAATTATAGAGGGCATCTCCACTGATCTCCATTAGCAAGCATATGTATACATAAAGTAATTCTGTTCTCAAATCCACACATGGGAAATTATGTGGTTTTCCAGATATTTGCAATATGAGTTGATCTTTATCTTCAGATCAAAATAACAGAGTCAAAACTGTTTTGTTTAGCCTGCCTCTTCCTGTTTCAAGAAATGCTTTAAATACAGTTTAAGGAAACAATCACAGTAAAATCTCACTAGAATTTTACTCTTTACAAAGTCAATACATTGCTCACTTTGAGAATAACCCATAGACTTATCACAGAATCAGAGAATGGTTTGGGTTGGAAGGGACCCTAAAGCTTCTTCAGTTCCAATCCCCTGCCACGGGCAGAGACAACTTCCACTAGACCAAGCTCCGTCCAGCCTGGCCTTGAACACTGCCAGGAATGGGGCAGCCACAGCTTTTCTGGTCACCCTGTGCCAGCACCTCAGCACCCTCACAGGGCATCAATTTAAAGCCATTACCTCCATTTGAATCCGACTTATTTCAGTGACAGCAGTTATGCACACCAGCTTCCATCAAATCACAAGAACAGATGGAAGAGTTTCCAACCTTAGACTTCTCCAATCATGCAGTTCAAAGCAACACGTACACAATCTCAGACAAAGAAAAGGGAAGTACTACACAGCAAAAGCAAAGGAGAAAGATGATGCAGACTATCTCTTAAAAGGAACAGACAAAGACAGAAATGAGATACTTTGAACATCCCAGTTTTCAGTGCTCAGTACCCAACTGGGTATTCAGCGTAACTGCCTCTGGAGCTTCAGGGCTGGAGAGATGAAAGGGTATTTGCAGAAACTTTTACTCGCATACTCCAGACTAAGAAAGCAAAGAGAAAAGGCAAGAGATCAATAGAAACATAGATTTCCAACTGTCAAACACCAAAATAAGAACTAGTGAAGAAAGAAACCTTAAAATAGAGCATTATGACAAAAATGAGTAACTGATTTAAAACCTATTTTGAGAAAGAGTTATGCAGTGTCCAAGTGTCCTTCTTCTCTCTCTATGCACTATTCATTATTCCTTCTCCATCTCTTCGAGAGCTGTTCTTCCCCACTTTTTTACTCAGAGTGGAAGCAGATCATTAAATCAAATTCCAGTTTCCTATGTCATTCTCTCTAATGTGTCCCTGAGCTAGTAGTCCCACTAAACTGGCCCATTTTAGTGGCCCATTTTGACGCTCAGATGTGTATCCTTATCAAAAAGGATCTAAAGCCAACAGGCTTAATTAAATGGAGTTTTAAAATGCAGTTCTATTTAAATAGATGGACTACATTATCTTGTTGTAAGTGAGAGCTTCAAGTATTTGACATTATTATACAAACGATTTCCATTCATGTGCTATTTTACTAACCAATTTTCTGCTGGTCCATTTAGCTAGGATTCTAACAGATGAACTGCAACAAAACTTACTGCAGCAAATAAAGATGCCACTGTTGCAAGTTACCTTTCAGAGAGGCAGGGAAGGTACCTGTGCATGAAGAGAAGCATAAGGGATGAGATGACCCAGCCCCAGTCTCTGAACATGATAGTACGTTCAGTTTCCTTTCTCAAGCAATCCCAAATGAGGCTGGGTGTGCTGACATTAAAGAGGACATCCTGCACTATTAATTTCAAGTACTGCTTTTGAAAAAATGACGACTCTTATCTCAATAGAACTGATCAAAACTATTATTTTCTCTCTCTTTGCCACAACTCATGTTGAATTTGAATGTTCTTGTTCTAAACTATGCTAAAAATCCTCAACTCATTCACCTGAACACACCTTCAACAAAGTAAAAGAATATCAAGCAGCAACAGAAGAGTAGGAATAAAGCACGGGAGAAATCTGAAACTCATCTACTCATATTTTGCTATCCTGGTTATGTCAACAGAAAAGCAGAAAAACCCAGACATCTGTACCACGCACACATTCATTTAATAGTCACTCTCTGCTGACAGGACTTACCCAAATCATTATTTTTTGTGATAGCTGCAGCTGCCCTGGCTCGAGGTCCCTGTTGTGTGAAATGGTATCCAAATTTGAGGATCTTCGTGTTTTCTTCAAGCATCTTGGCAATTTCTACTTCTGCAATTGTGCCCAGCTGCTGCCTCTGTTAAAATAAAAGATACACAAAGACAACAGAGCTTATGTATATTCAGCCTAAAAGAGATCAGAATACTTTCATCATAATAGTCAATAAACACCAAGATTCGTTTTGATTAATCTAAAAGGCAGCAGGTCACAAAATACATCTGTGCGCTTTAAAGCACAAGCAAGTACAGAAGTGACCAGGACTCAACCTCAACAGGATGCTTCTGAGAATCTCACAGACAATAATTCATGGGGTTAAGGTATTTAAAAGCAAAATATTTTGGCAAGTTTATCACAAGCTGCCTTCAATAAATACATAATCAACAAGGATAGACTGGTTTTGACTACAATATTACCACCACCTCACTTACTTGATTATCAATTTTGATCTCTGTCAATGTTTCATTGTCTTTCAGTGCATCGACCAGTGCCAAAATTCCAACTCCAGTGATGAAGTTTGATTCTATGTTTAAACTTCTTAGTTTTGTGTTTACTCTCAGCATATCTGCAAGAGCCTTTGAGTGCAAGAAAGCATCATTAAACTCTCAAATTTTGCTACAGTACACCATAGCACACAGTGATGACCTTTTCCATTAACTAGTTCAACAGGAGCAACAAGTCACAGACACATGGTGCAACTTTGCAAGTTTTCACTTACTGAGACTAAAGAGAGTCTTCAACCAGGCATTATCTGCATTCGCCTTTTAAATAGTATTTAGTCAAGAAAGGCCCTTTCTCTTGTTACAAATTAAAAAGCTACACAGAATATAAATAGTCTGAAATTAGCATACTGGATCAATTCCATTTTCTCAGCCTCCACAGTATACAACGAGTAATGCAAGAGGCTAAGTAAAGGCCAAAGAAAAAGTATTAGTCAAGTGAAAGGAGATTAGATATGGTTAATTTGGAAACAGGAGATCTGACTTTCAAAATGCTTCTGTCTAAAGATTTGGTAGGAAGAGGTAAACCACAAAGCTATGAGCACAGCACCAGGATGCACCTAAAAGCACTCTTACGGAAATAGCATATACCTGATTTTATTTCTGAGAAAATCATAAAAGAAGAGTAAGTAACAGCTGAGATTTACTTTGGTAAAAACCATAACCTTTATTTTCCTTTTAATATCAAGTCACAATGCAAAAATACTCCAGCAAAACCACACCTGAGAAAAAGAAGCTTTTATAAGCTATTACAAATGTTTCGGTTCTACTGAAAAGGACCTTTAATTGACCCAAACCAAAGCTCCCTAATGTTCACTCAATGAAGTTTTTCAAAATAGTTTTCTTTCTAATACGAAATTAAAACAAATGCAAAGGATTGTCCTGGAAAAATTAGTGATGTTTTCTTACCTCTTTTCTTTAAATATGCTTTTTATTCAACATAGGAGAAACAGGACCAGATGACAAATGCCCAAGTTTCAACTGTGTCAAAATAGATACGTTCACTAATGTCATGCTTTAGTGCCAAAGCTTTAAGCCAATCTTTGGTAGCAGAGGTATCAAAGAAATAGGTGTTTTACAACTTCCTTCAATTAAAACTCTAGCTAGTAAAAAATGATTATGAGCTTTTTCAGTTTCAAATGTGCTTCTTTTAAAGTTAGTTTTGAATATACTAGTGACTCCTGGAACAAACATTATAAACTAAACAGGAGAAAAAGAAAAATATGAAGTTAGCAAAATGAAAGATCAGGGAGGAATTGTAGAAAAAGAACTCTCATACATCTGATGCACAGCTTCATGTTAGTCAACTAGCAATCACCAACTTTGATACAACAAAGGTTTGTTAAAAAAACCATACTTTATAGTGTAACAGAATTTATCATTTTAATCTCTAAATATTTAAACAGGATTCAACTCAATCCCTCACCACTGTCTTCCCATCCTGACTTCCCTTGCACCCCGCTTAAGCACATTATCAAGAGTACTTACAACAGCAACAGGATCATTGCTTCGGGTGGCTGCAAGGCTGAAATGCTTCACATGCATGTTGGTTTCTAAGGCTTTTGCAAATTCTTTCAGTGTTGGAATTGGTATGTTCTTGAATTAAAAATAGCATGTCACTCTCTTGAGATACACAAGTTTATCCCCTCCCTCCAAGTTCTTCCATTATCTTATTCTCTTTACAGCAAAATGTACTATATTAACTTATCAGTGTTCTCCAGTAGTCTCAAGGTAAAGGCTACACATGTAGCAAACCTATATTTAAGATATAACAGTTATTAAAGTCACCAATTCTATAAAGCAAAGTCATCTTTACTACACCGATGCCATTACCATAATGTAAATGTTGAAGTATTTAGCTGACTTGGAACGGTTACTGTGCAAAATTTACATGAAAGAACATTCTGCTATCAAATTAATCTCTCACAAATACAAAAGCATTTAGAGCTTTAGACTGGTGAAGCCATTAGCATTTCATTCTCTGTGTTATTTTAAGTATAATTCCAGAATTTGCCAATGTATAGCTTGATAGCTTTTACAGTGTAGTAGTAACCAAACTTAAAAGGAATAATTTTAGCTAATTAGGGTAGCAAATTTCTCAGTTTATTATAGCAGAGATTTTGTTCTGTTGCCTTTTTAAGCATTTATTTTGGCTATCATGTTTATTGTAAAATATCTTAAACATGTATTTTCTTCCTTTAATAAGGGCAACAAGTATGCCAGGCTGTAGCGAGGCTGCAGCTAGCAGCCTGTCACTGCTGTCTGCACTGTAAGCCAGGAGTGCTATGGTTCTGTTTTCTTTCACACAAATATGCAAAAGTTTCAGCCATGTTTAAAACCACAATTGTTACACTTGTAAGCAGAAGCTGCCCTCATTACCAACAGCTCTTTTGTACAAGAATCAGAAGGGTGTCAGGTACAAGTATCACTTTGCCTGCAACACTAGTAACCAGGAACACATTGCTCCTTCAAAGGATAAAGGATTCAAAGAAGTTAACTCCATGATGGCAAATTGCTGGAACCATTGCCAACTTGGCAACAACAGAAATCTGTGCAGTAAGAAAATCTAAGACTTTAAATACACATTTGGCAAAAGAAACCAAGATGGCTTATCGGTTTAGCTCTGGGTTTCTGAGATTACACGCACACCACAACATTCAACAGAAAGGCTGCTTTACTTAGAAGAAACCTGACATACTCTCTCTTATGAGTGTAAGCTGCAGAACTCTCATGCAGAGTTTTGCAGTTTAAAGTGTCTTCTACTGAGCAAAAGCAGCGTATTTACTTCAGACTTCAGGTAATTACCTTAATGTTATTTAGGTTAACTTCAACAAGACGAGAATCATTATCTTTAATCCTTTGCAGTGTCTCTTCTACATTTGTGGGATTTGGTGGCTCATCAAAAACAGGCAACATTTTTTCACCTTTTACTATATCTGAAAAGTAAGGCATTTAATTGTAATCAAACAGGTCACATCCTTCACTGTGAATAAATGATACTCATAGTAAATATTTTCTGTCTTTAAAGATCATCAGTCTTTATATCTCTCCCCACCCAAAACGCCTATCATCCTCTCCTGACCATATTTTCATAAATTTCAACTCTTTTCCAAAGGCCCTCACAGCCCTCCTGCTTTCCTTCCACACCAGAAAGCATATAGGAGTTGAATTATAAACACAAACGCAAAACCCAACACACACAAATGCATGTTTATGCCTACTTTTATCCCCCCAAAGTGACTTAAAATCAGACTAGACTGTAGTGTACGGATATTTTAATTTCACTCTTGCCAGAACTCAATTAGCAATATTACAGACACGCACATTTCCAACTCAAGACTGCACAGTCTAAAGAATACTAGTGCAACAGAAAATAGTTAATGCTACCGTACAGAAAATAGTTAATGCTATAGTAACTGTCTGTAGTACAAAGCACTCATTTATCTAGCACTTGTGTACACACTTACCTGAGAAGCTGTCTTTGTCAACCCCATTACGGCTTCCTACTACATCACAGAGCTCATAGTTTGTTATCAAGTGAGACATTCCCAGTATAGCTGTAAAAGGATAAAAAGAAAAAGCAAATAAAACAATTTTGCTGTTTCTGACTAATTCAGCTCAGGTTCAGGTTTCTTTAATACCTTCAGGTTCCTTTAATACCAACTGGTGTTTGTAAAACACCCTGTTATCAGTACAATAAGCTGTTCAATCTCTTAATCATTTAAAGAAAAGTAGAAATAAAATAATTAATTGCAGACTTTTAAGTTGTCTTTCACATCTTAGATTTGACCTCACCAGGGTCAAGCATCAAAATTAAAAGTGCAGCTCAGTCACAAAATTATTGACTTAAGCTTCAGGAATACACGTACATGTATTCCTAACGCAGCATGCTCTTACATGAAAAAAAAAAAAAAGTAGTACCATACACAAGGAACCCCAGCCAGTCTGAGGAATGAACTTAAAGGGGTTGAGTTTGAAAATCAGGCATCTTTTGCAGGCCAGAATAATTTATGTTCCTATGAATTATCACAAAGCCACAAAGTTGATATACTACAAGCAAACTGGCATATAACATAATCTAGTTTCTATCACAAATACAACTTCCTCTAATCACATTTCAAATAACAAATACACAAATGCATTTATTATAGATCATTCTTGTCTAAATACACACCAGCCCATTCATATCTCAAGAACAACTGACCTGCAAGGTCACCTAATTCTGTGTCTGTGGCACTGGTCAAGGCTTCCTCCAGTTCTGGATCAAGAGTGAATTTTTCTTCTGCATAAGACTGTACAGGCTTCTGCTTGGGGATAAATATTTTCCCTGGAGTTAAGAAAATGAAAAGTCTGACGTTATTTCATATTCTATAGTTACTTATCTTTATTCTTTTTCTGTACTTAAGGAATATATATTACATAAATCCTAAGAGCACCGAGGAAAACATAAAGGAATGAGGTTTCTTCTTTGAAAGTCAGATATGGGGAAAAAAAACAAACAGGACATAGTCATTCGTTGCTTCCCTAAGGATTAGAAAGTATATACAAGCCTCCTTCATACATTTCAAACAGCCCAGAAAAAGTGCCTATAAGGAAAATTTAGTATCACTAGAGGATGAGGACCAGCATCCTCTCAAGGGAAAAAAGGGACCCAGGCACAACTGTAATCTGAATGTGTCAGAGACAGCATATCAAATGCCATGATCTGAAACCATGAACCTGAGAAGTTGTGAATGCTGCATCCCTGGTGGTGTTCAAGACCAGGCTGGACAGAGCCTTGGGTGACACGGTTTAGTGGGAGGTGTCCCTGCCCATGGAAGGGGGGCTGGAACTGAATGAACTTAAGGCCCTTTCCAACCTAACTATTCTGTGATTCACTGCAGTTTTATTCACTGCATACATGGTATTTCTGATTTCAGATGTTAACTTAATTTTTAAGTAGAAAAGGGAGATGCCTGAGCTGCTTGAGAAAACCACATTAGTGAAAAGCACACACCAGGGTAACAGATTACTCTGCCAATGGCACTGTTTTCTAAAATGATAGTTAGAAAGGTCATAGAAGATTCAATGGAAAAAGGAGCAGTGGTAATACCACATTCCGTGCCGCCTTTGCAGTCACTAAGGACAGGTAATGGGAAAAGTTATTCAAGGAGACATGCTAACTACACAGACCTTTATTTATATTGCATGATTCATCATATATCATAATGCATATATGTTCAGCTGAAAAGTTAGGGTAAGATATCAGAATATGAGAAACCTATTCTAACAGTTATTCTGAATCAGTTCAGATGAGAATGATTTAGCATTGGCCTTTCAGAACTAAGTCTGCCAATGGTTAAGAACCCAGGAGAGGTAAGGGGTGCTTAGGTTCAGGAAAAATTAACATGATACTGTATTGTATGAGAGAACAAAAGCATTTGATACAACTATTTCACAAATATTTGATGCATTTGATACAAGTATTTCACAACTAGAAAACTGACTCATCTCCACCATTACTCAAAGTTTTTCAAGCTTTCCAAGTTGCCCGAGCTATCAGCAGACAGAGCTGTGGGAAAGGGGCTCCAAGTGCCATTATTTATTTCCTGGGGTAGGAAGTGGTGTTGATAATCTTCCTATGAAGTCTCAGTGCTAAACCAGTAACCCACCCTCTGTCATAATCAGAGCTAAAAAAGACTTCCACACACAAATCACTCTAGCTCATCCCAATTATACGGTGAAAACCCACCACGCACCAGAATCAGCTGGCCAGAAGCCCAAGATTTTTTTTCACTTGAACTGCATACAAGCATATCTTGTTACATGTTTGGACTAAGACTAAGTTTAGCATTTTTAAATACCTCCCCATGACAAGAAGCTTTATAGGGAATATTGCAGTTTCATTTCTGGGAAATTCCAACAAAGCAGGATTTTGATTTCACCATTTATGGAAAGCAAAGCCTGAAGTCAGGTCCTAAGTCGAGCAGCAGACACAAAACCCATAAAAGCATAACAAAACTCATCCACCTTTTCCCTCTCTCTCTCCAAATTCCTATCCTAGATTACAATAGTTTGTAGTTCATTTTCTTTTTATAGGAACTTAATGCATGACCACTAGCACAGATTACAAAGAAGCATATCAGGTTTTTCCCTGACAACACAGTCTGATGACAAGGATCTGTTGCTAGCAACACAGTATTTCTGTTCCTGGGTTGCTATCTCTTTGTAAGGTTGTATAAATGGTCATTATCCACAGTCAGAAGCAGAAAATAAATCTCCTTACATAACTGTATTGACTACAAACAGCAGCTGAAAGCAGCTGACATGCATTACCACCCACACCTCTGGTTTGATGGACAGTGCAAAAGTAACTATGGTTGTGGTGAATCAGGAAGAAGAAATGATTTATGAAGGAAAGAGTCACAAATTGCAGGCTTCAGTAACAAATGCTGATGATTATTCTGATACAATTGACACAGTACATTCCTACCCCCACTGTACCACCGCCACCTGCTGGGGAAGCAATAGCTTTCAACTTTAATTTTCAGGAGAGATGAGTGCTTGATGAGGTTTTCATTAAGCCATTAAACACTCTGAAGAGCATATACATGATCTAAAGCCTCTCATTAGCTACGCTTGTGTTGTTTCCCCTCAGTAATACAGGCAAGTAAAAAAGTGAGGATTTCAGAGTAAAAAAGGAGAGAAGTGTGATGTGAGCACCTGAGCCTTCTTTCATGTCATCCTTTATCAGCAGGCTGCAAGTGGGAGAAGGAAACTGAGCTCAGTTAAAAGCAACTTTGTTAAAATTTATTTCAACCTGTATGAGCCTTTTGTCTGGTTCATCACAGTACTCACAACAAAGAACTGCTTTTCCTGGTGTTACTTTACATAATTCTTCAATACATAGGTTAGGAACTTCTGGTTCTGAACATCTCCTTCAAAAGAAAAAACTTATCCATACATGTCTGACTCATAAGATAACCTAAAGGGGCACAAGCATACCCAGTTTTCATTAAAGCAAAAATGTTAAGAGCCACTCCCCTCCAGAAACCTTCATTGCAGCCAACTGCAGTCACATGAACTGGGTCAGGAGCAGTTTTTGTTACAAAACAGGTCACACCCTTGTGTATATAATGTCTCATTCACTGGCTTCATCTCATCCTTGCCCAGAGTTCAGAGGTTTACCATGCACATACGAAAGCAAGACCTTCCTCACTCCCCACTTCTACTAACATACCTCATAAAAAGATAAGACCCCTGTGTCTCTGGGGCCAATGATCTAACTCCAGGCCTGCTGCCAAGACAGTTTAGCAATTCCCTTCCCTAATGTAAGATTTAAAAAACCCACACACTATACATCTGTACAACCCATAAGCTGAATAGCTTTCCTGGCCCTTGAGTGGAACACTTCCAAATAGCAGGGATTTGATCACATAAAGGAACAAGACATCCTCCTTTTCAGCCAACAAGGATACTGCAAAGATTAAGCAATACAACATAAAGAGACAAATTTCAGAGTTGTTCGCATCTTTTTGGTACTAACTATATATTCGGGTCTTCTACGCCTTTACCTAAGGAGTTAAATGATACACATCCCAGGATTAATTCACAGGCCTTCTCTGCTGCTGAATGAACTTCCAAGTTCCACAAAATTGTATTGCTCAAAAGGCAGAAATGTTGGATGATGTCTGTTGAAGTGCCAAAGGCATTTCATACAGACTCACAGTACCCAAGGTGGGACTCAAAATCCTGCAGGAGTCATGTCTGCTCAGTGAGGCCATGCACTGCATATGCCGGTGCTATTCTCACATACCCCACAGTCCTACCCCCAAGCTATTAGACAGCAAGTGACTTCTACCTGCAGATCAGAACATCCAAAATCCACTTTGGAGTAGTCTGTTTGCAGAAAAGGCATCAAGTGTCACCTGAGGACAACTGAATACAAGATTGTCTCATCAGTGACTTCATGAAGAGTGAGCAACATCTGATATACTCCTTACATCTTATGTTCCTTAAAGTTTCATCAACCCAGAAATTGATATAACCTGCAATTCATCAATCACCAACTTTTACCATGTGACAGACTTAGGTTCATCAATTCACTTCTAAGCACAATTTAATAGTATTATTTTTTAATCCACTTACAAGTGACTTCCTCAGTGTCTTATTGTAAAAACTGCTCTGTTACTCATTATCTGATTACAGAGCACATAGCAGTGAGTTAGAAAACTGTTTTACATTAAGGCTACAATATCACATGCTATTTTGTTCTAGTGGTCTTGTATGGAGAACGTCAATTCGCCAAGCTGCTTCTCCAAAACTCCTACATGATATTAGCTTCCTTTTAAACATGTAACACACTTCCTTTAAAGACCAATGATAGAATGGCAAACAGAACACAGCATCACAAATCCTACTGCAACAGAAGCAAATGGTGATCTAGAGCAACAACTGAGAAGGGCAGCAACAAAAGAGCTCTAGCCAGGTGACTACAGTTTCAGCCTAACAATAGCCCAGGTGACAGAGCAGGGAAAAAACCCAAAACAAAACACCAAAATGAAAACATGAAAGAGGAAGTTATATGAAATGCAAATCTACACAGACAAACATACCCTGGCAGGAATGTAGAGGGAGAATTGGAAGAGAAAATAACAATTAGGAGAGTACAAGGGCTAGAAACGCAAAGTATTCTTGCACTATGCAGCACAAAGTACATTACTGATGTTAGATATGTTTTTATCTTGGGTGCAATAATCCTCATCTTCTGCTGTTCCAAGAGAAGTGAGAAGCATTGGTCAGACATAGTCAGAAGTGTGGAACACACCTGAGGGCAACAGCCTCCAGCACTGAAGCCTCATTTCACTGTTTAGATGACAGATCCTTCTCCTTGCACTATGCCTTGTAAAATCTTTATGACATACTTACGTACACAGATCGAGACAAAGCTGGTTTTGTTGAAATTATTACCACATTGCTCTCATGAATCTCTGGAACAATACTTTACTGTATGTTTCAACACTTAATTGGAACAGAATGTGACTTAAGTTATTAAATCGTGCTTAAAAACAAAGTATGATTTTAAGAATGCTTTTAGGAACAAAATCAGGCAGTGGAAAAATGCAGTAGAACATAATTTAAGGATTGTTCAACTTTACATTTCTTTAGTACTGTTCATCTCACTGTATCAGGACACTTTACATTATTTCACATCTACATTTCATAGCACACAGAAAAAGAGTTCCAAAGACTTGGAGAAATCACAGAATCTACGAGTGAAAGATGATGCAACACTGTTTTAATAAAGCATTATCTCAAAATGAGGTACTTGGGACAACTGGAAGAGAAGATTTTCCTTTACACTGTAGTAGGGGAACAAGATTACCAGAATCATTAGCAATCCAGGATGTTTAAAATTAATCCAGGGTAAGCTTCTTTGATAAACCTGTAGGCCAAATTGCCACATGGAACATTTTACTAGAATCAGAAAAGGAAAGAATAGATTTTCCCCTTCTTGCTCTGTAAAATAATTAAACCAGGTTAGAGCAATGAGACCACCTAGGCACGTACAAATATTTCAGTAGAGCCTGACCTACAACAATGGCACTAAAAAAGCAGCTGCAACTCCAGTCCATGTCTTTCTCCCCAAAACTTATAAATCTGAAGGTTACAATGGTCAGGTTTCTTCCATATTTTTAGTTTCAATGAAAGCAAGAATTTAATTTTTCATATAATTTCTCCCTTCTTCTGTGGTACTATAGTACAGTAGTATAGTTATAGTAGAAAATGTTATTAAGTAGTGAGGGGTTTTTTTTAAAGATACGGGAAGTTTTGCTAACTGAACTGGTATGACATATTGCAACATACAGGCAGACTGCTATTTACTATATTACATAAAGGAAATGACATTTGATCTTTCTTCATCAAGATCTGCATTGCAGCTGAACCCTTCTGTTTTTCTACATGATTCACGCAGGTTTTATTTACCCAAACAAATAGTTTTCCATGTGCATGGGTATGTAAGCAGACTTTAAAGAACCACCTATCTGAATGAAGCATTAGCAGTCAGTAGAATGCAAAGTACTAACTAGTGCAAATCCTCCATGGCCAGCCTGAAGGAGCATTTAATTCACAATATTCAGTATACTGCATTATCCCAAACTCAGTTACTCTTACAGACCCAGGCAGCAAACTTCCATTCTCAATAAGCAAAGGAGTGTCAAAAGTTACCTTCCAATGAAAGCAGTGTAAACTCCACAAATAAGGCAAAACACAGTGTATTAAGGAAGTAGTACATCACATACAGTGCAGCACATTCAAGTCACAATCTCTCTATTACTTCCAGGGAGAGAAAAGGAGAGACCAACATTGTCAAGTAACAGCTATCTGGTACAGGCAAGAGAAAAATACAAACATCCCAAACAAAACTTGCATGGGATATTCACCACCATCACAACCATGTATACAAACTCAGTAAATGAATGCTCAAGTCTAACATAAACACTGATTCACAGCAGACAATTAAGTAAAGGGTTTCAAACCCTTAAGAAGAGAGGAGCCTGCTCACCTCGGGCAGCTAGAATACAACTTACCAAACAACTTACTGAGGTCTTACTGTAGATGTGCCCTGCTGCTGGGGAAGGTTCAGACAAGCTAGGATTCACAAGCAGTATAAAAAAAACTATGAAGTGAGAGCTAAAAGCCTCCTCCTATGCCTATGTGCTCCAGACTGGGAGTTTCTGTCCCTACACCTTAGTAAGGCACAACAAATTTGGGAACTCTCGCTTTTGGCAGAAGAAATAAATTATTCTTATATATTTAAGATTCACATTCTTTAATTCTCTCCAGAAAAGGAAAACACTTCCCATCCAAGTCAGCAAGACAACTAGATCCAAAACAAAGATTTAAAATCCCATGCTTTAATAATGGGTCTGCTCATTGGGTCAATGTTTCCATGGTTTTTAGACCACAAACCACTGTCAGATTTCAAAGCTGCTTGCAATGTTAACTATGTAATTAGTTATAATAACTATGCAATTCTTATTAGACCTCTCAGTAAAGATACTAGAAGAACAACATGACTGCATACACCACTTGCATGGCCTTGTCAGCCTACAATGTCTTTGAACATTATCATCTACAACATCATCATTATACTGCTATTTTTTAAATTCAGTATGTTGCAAATGTTACTGTCTGTACTCAGCTCCATGGGGCATAAACCACAGGCACAACAACAGCATTTGTTATTAATATCACAAATCAGGGGTAGCTCTTACTTTGAGGATACCACCCCATCAGAACTTTATCATCTGATAAAATCCTTGTCTCCTTCCTGTGCTAGACACAAACAGCACAGCAGCACCAGCGTCACAACTGCCTGAACAGGAAGCATCCCGCCTCTGCACAGTAGCACTCGCTCGGAAATGCCACCAGTTAAAAAGCATGAGAGCTGCCGGTGCTTCAGTGAACTTTGGTTCACAGCAGTTCTGGCTAGTCCACTTCAGAGATTTCATAACCACCTACACCAACCGGAAAGGGTGGCGTTACCTTTCTTTTCTTTTGTAAAAGGCACATAGTCTTCCCTGTCTTTGTGCTCAAGAGCCTGCTTCTCTAAGTATGCCAGGAGCCGTTCCCTGTCGAAGGGACCTGAAGCCTTTTTAGCAGTCTGGTCTTTCTGTCGGAAGCCTGCAGGCAGCAATGCATTCTGCAAAACAAAGTGGAGCATATAAAGTACAGCTTAGAAAGTCTGAGTGAACACCTGCTTAGTTTCATTTCCCTCTTCCTTCTCCCTCTCCCCAAGGTTCAGACTCAACATATCATCCTTTTTAGTCAACTTCATTTTTTTATGGGGCAGGAGAAGGACACAAGATAATCTGTTCTTTAGATACCAAGAATATATTGAAAAATAGAGCACACTGCACTCGGAAGCAATACTTTAAGTACAATAGCTCCCAGCACTAGACTTACTAGGTAATTTCGATTTATTTTCTAGAATAAATAGTGTTTAAATGAGTAGTAGTAAATAAAACTCTGCTATTTACAGCTTAGACATTCAGCAAGAGACTGCTCCCTCCACCTCTCTTATATCCATGTGTTTCTGAGTCTTCAAAACAACTGTCTGTACCGTTGTATGACATTTAACACACGGTACTCCTACTTTTGACATGATTCAAGGTGGGGTGGTTCATTTTGCCATCAAAGTATTTCAGCTAAAAAAAGCCCCAAACAAACAAAACAAAAACAGTAACAAAAACCCATAACCAACAACAAAAAATGGAGGATATTAGTATGGAAAGAATGGGATATTTTGAAATTCAGATTGTCATAAAGGATAGCTAATCACTTTTGCCAGTTCTCCTCTGTTAAAATGTCTAGAAATCCAAAGCCAATTAAAGTATCACGAGTATTTTGCAGTGCAACAAAACAGGTGATCATAATACGCTTAAATGACACCCAAACATCCAGATTAAACTTAATCTTGGTACTATTAAAGCAAGAACAGACAATCTGGAAGTGAAAACACAAGTCTTGGAATCCAACATTAGCTGCAGTATCAGTAGAGGACATAGGCCTTTATAACAGAGGGCTAAAATGTTCCTTATTCAATACCACATGCTGACATAATAATTCAGGAGCTGAGCAATTACTTGCCTCCTCTTTGCAAAGTCAGCACAAGGACAGGAATAGATTGAGATTATCAGATACAGGACCAGGAATCTCTAGAAGAGGTTAGCACCCTCCCTCTCCCATCAAACTCCAACAATGGAAGCAACAAAATAAAAGATGCAGAAGGGCTGGTTACCAGACAACACTGGAAGCAGGAAAGTTAAACAGGCCTTTCTCAATAACCTTTCTTTCCAAGAACACAAGCCAAAGCAATTTTTATTATAAACACATCCCAGAAAGCTCCTCCTTACAATTCCTTCTTCAGTTTTCCTCTACTGCAGTTGCATTCACTTTGCAAACAGGAAATAAGCAGTTGAAACATTATATACACAAATATATCTGTAAATAAGATCATGAGCAGACTAGGAAATAACTGTCCAAAAGTACAAGTAAAAAAAGTCTCAACTTATCTCAGACTACTTTCTAAATGAATGAAAAAATAAAACTTCTCTTGGCTAATACCTACCTCAGGGTCAAGATCATCCAAAACAGTTTCCAGTTGTTTCAGTTCTTCTTCCGACAGTTTGCCAAGAATTTCATCCTCATCAAGATCTTTGTACTTGTCCAAGTCCTTTCGAAATGGGAGTGTCATGACTCCAGCAGCAGCAGGTTGCTCAAACACTTTAAAACCAAGCCTTATTCTTCACCAGATCTATAAAAGAAGAAAAGTTTTTAAAAGAAGCAACAATAATTAAGATAAATATCGTAAGTACAAAGCACCTTCAAACTCCAAATACATCTCTGAAAGAAAAGCTTTTTCATTCAGTATTCATATCTACCTGTTACTCTACAACAGACAAAGAGCACTTGGACGCTGTCTACACCTTGCCACTTCACTGACAAGAATCCCGTCCTGCTGTGCCCTTTTCCATCAGTAGCTAAGCTAATATATATTTTCAGATGAATGCCAGACCCGGTTTTCTCAATGAAAACACCAAGGCCACAGTTCCCACAGAGCTGGGCAGGCTGCAGGGCAGGATGGAGTAAATGGCAACTATACCTAGTATTTATGAGCCCAGCTTAATGCTGCTGTTCTTTTACAGATATTGCAGTCAAAACGAGAGCTAAGATGCTTTGTTGCTGCTGCTGTTTAAGAGCAGTAAAGGAGAACTTCACTACAAACAAGCTAATTGTTTATTACTGACTCATATCCCCATGTATTACCTACAGAGGGAACAAAGGAAGTTTGCCTCCAAGTTAATTATAGCACTGCCATTGAAATAACATTGTTTTGTCCAAGGAAAATTAAAACACCTTGATGAAAGACTTGTGGAATACAGCTCCAAAGTAGCAGCACTCCAGGCAGTCCTACAAACACACACATCTCCCCCCAAAAAATTAAAAATACAGAACAGACTGCTTAACTGCTCACTAAATAGTATACTTGGTGGAAACTGGGGTCCTTCAAAAGATGTCCAGCCTATATAGTACTTCTTACAGACAGGGAGAGCTCAGGGAACCTTTATTCTAACAGTCACAATTTTTGACCATTTGGCTTGCAAAAAACAAAGAGCTGATCACAACAGGGCTGAATCTGACAAGTTGGTTTCTCTCAATTTTCTGTAAGAAGTTCTGGGATTTTCCTTTTGTTCTGCCAAATTCTTGCTTCAAGTTGAGCACATGCACAAAAAAAGGTAACTTGAATGTCTCTTTGTAAGTGAGCAAGAGTGTCCACAACGTACAATGGGAGCAAAAGCTAGATTCATACATTCAGGCTTATTAGCTTCCCAAACCCCCTATAGAAATACTCAACACAGATCAGACATGCGGCAAACAACTTGTTCTCCAATGGCCCACATTCCAGTTTAGAAGCTTGCACCACAGGTACTAACTGCATTAGTTCAAACTTGTACTTACACTGTACGTCAAAAGCAGATCAATTTAAAGTTACTGCCTCTCACTTAAAAGAAGGGCCATATATACATGCTATACTATGGAATCCTGCTTACAGAATTCCTTCACCTCAGTTGTTTACATCAAGAAAGGTCTCTGTGGCAGTCATAGTTACACTCAGTGATATTTTAGTTCAGAGACACTGAACAGACATGAGCACGTGAAGGCCCATCCACACACATTCAGTCAAGTTTACCTGTAAAGTAAATATGGTTTTAACAATTTCTTTTGCAAAACCAGTAGATTTTCAGTTCCTACCAACATCTACAGCGGAATAAGGAACAGATTTACATCTATTTCCAGGATGTCTGCTTTTAAAAAGTATTACTGATATTAACACTGCAGCTTACTTGTAAACCATGGCTGACATTGATAGGACGTAATTCCAAAACTGAACTACCAACTTTGGTAAAGTTCCCTCAAACATAATAAAAACCATGAGGAATCCTCAATTTCATGGTATATTATGTCAAACAGAAGTGTCTGGCCTCCTCTGAACCACGACCAATAATACTGAAAGAGCGTGGACCTTTTGCAAGAGGCCACAGAGCTGAGAACATCCAAGTTTAATGGCTGCAGAAAACACAGAGGGTAGCAGACCTATGTTTTTCAAACCCAAGTTCCAGAGGTAACTAAATGAGTGTCTCTATGGGCCGGCATTCCACCTCCTACAGCTTTCATAGTCTCATGGTTATTTGTTTCTCCAGGTGCATAACAGCTGAAGGACAATTAGCTGATGGCTGCAGCAGATGCCACACAATCTGCATGCACACTTCTCATTCCAAGTGCCTTAATGTTTTGCCCTTCCTTACAGTTCAAGCCATTACACACTATCATAAGAGAAAAACATTTCCTGAAGCCAATTACACAGCATTGTTTGTGACCAGGCTGCACCATCTGAATCCTACATCAAGACACTGCTATTTACCACATTTCTGCATGTCCATTTGCATTCAAATATTAAAAGGTGCAGTTTTAACAGGTAATTATAAGGAACAGAAGAGTTAGCATATTCCAGAATAATGCTCTCCTTACTCTGAAGGAGAGCAGCACTGCATTACCATGCATTACATTTATGTAGGCTGTATTTACTCTCTATGAATTACTGTAAAATGCTGTTGCCCAAAATTAATTACCTTTTATTTACTGCATCAGTATGTTTCACATTGGAAAACTACTCATCCTTTATAATACATCAATTAATGTCCAGGTCATAGCCCTTAGTCTCACTTGTGTCTATACTGTAAGCAAAGTAGCCATTTCAAATCCTGAGACACAGTGTTCAGACACACACAAAAGTGAAAAATAGAGCAGCAGAGAAAAAAAAACAACAACCTGTTTCAGTAGTAACTGAGTCTTCAGCAAGAGAATCACATGCGGCTTGGCAAATTTAAAGAGTTTTGGCCATATTTTCTAATACCTATCAAAAGTATTTCTTAAAACATGAATGTGAGACACTTTAAGACGTTACGCTGGTGGCACTGAAGAGCATGGCTGTACTAGAGAGATTCCCTGGTAACAATTTTCAGACACATTCCCTGCAACAGAAACAACAGTGCCCATGACACTCCAGAAAACATGCTAAAAATCAGGTTTTAAAACATGATTTCAGGAATTCTCACTGCCTGAAAAGGGCATAAAGACCAGCTGAAGCCCTGATCTAATCCAACAAGCCCCTTCACCTCTCTTAAACACATTCAGTACTGTTTGCTTTCTAACACTCACTGTAGCACTGCAGCAGAGATACAGGCATAATAAAGTACAAGTTTTTAGAAGCAGCAGTTTTCCACGCTGTGAATGTTTGTGGCCCATCAAAAATTGTAGGCAAAACCAAAACCATCAATTTCAGCTTTGCAAATACACTTTTTTGATGAGCAGAGCTAGTTTTCCTCTAAGTATCTTTCTTAGCTTTATCATGAAAACATTCCATATGTTGGAAGTCCAAATTTCTCTACTCTAGCAACTTCATAGTTGCATAAGAAACATGTAGGGAAGTGGAAACAAAGCCATCACTTCCAATCAATCAAATTTCAATGCTCTATTCGCTAGGCAGAAGTGGATAAATCGGAAATGAAGATATTCTGCTGGACATCAGAGAGACATAAATCTTGTGATTATTCCTTCACCTGAGGAATTCATGAACAACTGAAGAAATCAGAAGACAGCAGTAACTTTAAGGCATTTCCTAATTACCTGAATCATCCCCTTGAAAGACTGTCAAGCAGTTTTCACATACTTCTTCTCTGCAAGTTATTTGTTTTCCCTGTGTGAAAAGGCATTTTTAAAACCCAAGATTCTAAAAATAGCTAGATTCCAACTTTCTTTCAGAACTTCATCACCATCCCCAGATTTCTATTATATTTAAGAACACAAGTTTTAGGGACCCTTTAGCAGGAGTAACCCTTTAGAAATATCTTACCCACAGGAAACTAGAGTCTTTTTAAAGTCCACCACAAATGGTTTCCATAACTTGGATTTTAAAATAGCAGCGACATGATGAAAAACAAACCGAGCTGGTTCAGGTCAGCACGTTTGCAGAGGTCACTTTAATCAAATTTGCTACTTCAGAGCCTCCTGCCACCCAACTTCTGGGTGAACCTGACCTGGAGAAGGGGGATCCACAGGGCTGCAGCCTTTCTGCACCAGTCTGGGCCCAGACCATCCCAACTGCTTGGAGGAGGCTAATCTCAGCATTTCCTCAGGGAACCCCTATAATGGCAACAATTTTACTTTGTGAGATTTATTATGTGAGATTACATAGAGCTGTATATGAAGAATGTGCTGCACTTGAAAGAGCTGTCTTTATTTACCAAAGCTAGGAGAAAAATGAGGAAATAAAATATTACCACAATCCCAGCAGGTTCCTTGGCATGTTTCTGTAATGCCTTACGGTAACTCTGCTGATGCTGCTTTTCTTAGCAGAAAGCTCTCAAAAACCCAGCTGAGTCCTCCGAATCTCCAGCCTGGGGCAGGGCACAGCAATCAGATTCTCCTGCCCAGGGATCCCACAGGCATTCCCTAGCCCACAACCTTCCAGAGCCAGCAGGTGGCAGCTCATCTTTGCCTACCCTTTTTGTCAGGATAAATAGTGTTTTCTGGGCAGCAAGGAATAGCTATTTTGGGCTATTTTCCTACAAAAGCAAGCCCGAGGCTTCTTTCTGTTCAGAGAAACAGTTCACTAAGTTTCATACATGACAAACTGAGCTTCCCCAGCTTCACATGTGTCCATTGGGTGACCTAGGGAGTGGAGGGGGACAGACAGCTACTGCAGAGTAAATACAAGGACCATGAAGATTGTTCTATGATGAAGGAAACGGGAAAACAGCTGCAACTCCAGTTCCTGACAGCTCCTCCTCTGCGTAAGAGTGCACCGGGAACCAGACAAAGCCCATTCTTTCACACGTCCTGTATACAGCTACAGAGAACTAGGACACACTTATCTTGCAGTTAGGGTGCTCTGTGTGATGGCTAAGCTGCCAAGTTGGCATTGTCCCATAAAAACTTATTCCGCATGCCTGTTCCTGAAAAACAGTTATCACACTGCAGGGCTGCATGGACATTCCCATCCAGCCCAGGCAATAGCAGAGGAGACAGAGCACGCTTGGCAAGCTGCATGGGGCACAGGAGCAGCAGCCTTGGCAGCACAGGAGGCAGCATTCCAGCATACCCATCTCCACAACACTTCCAGGCATGCTCATCAACCTATCTGCAGGGCAGGTATTATGATCCCAAATACACACAAGGCTGGGGTAAGCTAAAAATCCCAGGTACCACAGGTACTGCCTGCCCTAAGCAGCTCCCCTAACAGAAATCCCCATTCCAGTGGCCCATTCCCTCTCCCAACAGGCAGGACAGCACCACTGCATCCGGAGTTACTGACTGGCCAGGATAAGGGATGTTTTGGTGTTTTTTTCTGAACAATATACCTGGATTTTCCTCAGTAAAAATGTACTGCCCATAGACACTGACACACAGTATGTCCTCCCAGAGAAACTACCTACAGGCCTTTCAGTCAAAAGAAGCACCAGGTGCAAGCTATTTTAACACGTACAGAAGCATTCAGGTATCTGTCCATTACAGAGAAGTGGTGAAACTTACAAGCCTAGAACAGGACAGGGAAAACGTCTGAGCAGTAGCCAATTTCAGATTCTCTCCTTGAAAGCCAGGCTGTGTTTCAAGCTCTGCACACCTGACACAGGAGCAAACACCAGTCTTGAGGATGCATTTAATATAACAGATTTAACACACTCAACAACCTCTCCAGAACACCACAGCTTGTGCCTACCTGCGAAGAAGCATGTGGGTAGCTTTCAGAGGCTTATACCGAGAGCTTATGTGCAAAGCTCCCAGGAAGTTCAGGGATCTGTGAGTGCAGAGGCGACCGGGAGCCCCGTGGGGAGCACCCCTTGGCCAGGCCCCTTGGTCTGCGTCGGGGTGCTGCAGAGCAGTAACTCCCCCCAGGCACGGGTGCACCAGAAAAGCATTCCTCCGTGGTTCAGGGCCGTGAACTGCGTGCTTCATAAGTTGCACAGAACACACAGAGCAAGTTGAGAGAATTACGCTAACCAGATCCACAGGCAGAGTTTGCAAACACAGCTCTCAGGTCCCAGGGCAAAGCCGGACGCTGACTAAAACCTTGCCGACAGCCCTACGTGAGCACTCACCGGCTGACACCGCTCAGCCTCTTCCCTGCCCCAAGCCCCCGCACCCCTTCCGCGGCCAGCGCAGGAAGCCACCGCCGCTCAGCGCCAAACCCCCGCCCTGCCCTCCCAGCTCCGCGCTAACAAAGCCCCGACCTTCCCGCTCCACAAAACCAGCGGAGGTCCGGGCACCAAGGTGAGCTGCCGGGGCGGGCGGGCGGCGGCCCAGCCCCTCCTTCCTCGTCCCGCCACAGCTCTCGCTCCGCTCTGTGGCAGCGGGCACAGGGCTGCCCCCGCCGCCGACCACCCGCCCATACTCTCCCCGGCACCCCCGCGGGGCCCGCCCGGCACAGCCCGTCCGGTCACGGACACCCTCCAGCCCCAGCCCGCGGCCGCTCCCCGCTCACCCGGGCGGCGGCAGCCACCAACTCCGTCCACCGCGAGCCACAGCCCTGCGCCTGCGCGCCCGGAGCATGCCGGGAGCTGTAGTCCGGCCGCGGGGCGGGGCGCCGGGCTCTGCGCCTGCGCTCACGGAATGGCTCCGCGCCTGCGCAAGGTGGGGCGGGGAGGCCGGTCGTGCAATGACATGTGGCAGGGAGGAGTTGGGGTGCAGGGGGTTTGGGTGCCCCTGGGGAGAGGGTGGGAATGGCCCCCGTCACCATTGGTACCCTTCGTGGTGCGGCTGCTTAAGGGCTCCCGGGCTCCAGTACCCCGAAATCGCGCCTGTTTGGGGCGCTTACATCAACGGTGTTTCTCGGGGGTCACGGTGGGTGCTGGATAGGGCAGGCAGGCTGCGGGACCCAGGACGTGGATTCTGTGCAGGAGTGGGGTTTGCACGGAGGCCGAGCTGTGCGTGTGACAGCTTCCCTCCCGCAGGCACGGCCTGTGTCTGCAGCCAGGTCCTGCCCTCCCTGCCAAACCAGGGCAGTCGTGGAGCTCCTGTGTGCTTTCAGAGCTCCCCACGTCCATGCAGGTCTCTCTTTCCTTTGGCCTCTCCAGGCTCCTCATCTTCACCTCTGCCTACATGTAGTTTCTTCTCCATTCAAAACATGCAGCTTCCTCTGGGCTGTCGGCCAGGGCACTGGGGAGATGAGTCCCCCGTGCCTGCGTTCAATGTCCAGTCCTTCCCTGATGCAACAAGAGGAGCAATTACAGGGATGCAGCAGTTTCTTCTGGGAAGCTCTGGGACAGAGCACCTTTGGTGCTCCCATTGGCAGGACACTGGTGGAGTTCAAATGCCAACATGCCCTGTTAAGGGCTGGCCAGTGCTTAATGAACACGAATGTTGGACATTTCAGCTACCAGACGTGAAGTGCTAGTAAACATCAGCTACGTTGTTTTGTAAGTTATAATATGAAAGCAATCTGGACAGATTGTCCCGAAAACAGTGAAAGATCTGACTCGATTCTTTGTGTGGGTGAAAGCTGGAGCTGCTCAGACAGCAGTTTCCAGAGGTTGGTTTTTTTTCACCATGGATTTACTTTTCTTCTTATCTCAATGTCAGAAAGAGTTAAACTTTCACATCTCAGAATAAAAATTAAATGAAGGCACTTGTCTGGCCTGTGCCATTTGAATGGCAAAACATAAAACAGTGGAACTCAGGGTCTTATAGTAGAAACAGTTGAGTAACCTTCCTTGTAGACACTGCCATTCCTGCCTTCAGGGCAAGACATTTGTAGCATACAAATAATAACCAATAATCACTAGTACAGCTATAGCAGTTCTGCATTTTCCAGGTATCAAGGGCCCTACAACACTGCTGCGACTTAGAGAAAAAAGATTCCAAGGCTTGCACAGTAGGTAATAGTGAGGTGCTGACTTGTCCCGAGTCACTGGAAACCCTTGACAGGTTTGGGAAAAGAAACTGGGAGTGAAATGTTGGCCCCACTGGCGCCAGCATGAGTTCTGCTGTCTGCTTCAGTAGTGCCAAGATTTCATTTCCAGGAGATATATAGAGTGTAACTCATCATACATAATCCATCTTATTTAATACGGAGTTTATTTAAAATACTTTAAATTCGAGTAACTTATGACTGGTACATTAATGAAAGATATTTTACGAAGTCCTGGCTGTGCTGAAGTCATTAGTGAGGCTCTGATTAACTTCAACAGAGACAGAAATTAATCTGATAAATCATATTAAATCAAAATTGTGCACAGTTAAAATGGAAGAGTCCAGTGTGCTTGGCTGAACCACTTCACTTCAAAGACAGAAAGTCCCAGTGCATGCAAAGGAGGAGGCCAGAGCGGTCAGTGGGTGACAGAGCTGGGCTTTAGACTGCTGTGAGATTCTCAGTTGTTCAGCACTGGAGGCAAGAGACCCACAAAGCCACACTGAGCCTTTCTGGCACCAGGCCCATGGGTGAATGAAGAGACACTTTTGTAACCACAAGAGCACTTCTGCAAATGCTCAGCAATAGATTCATAATCCTCCAGTCATTAGAGGGCTGGCCTTTTCCAAGCTGACAGATCAATGCGTCTATCAGAGGGGGAACATGACATTCTCAAAAGGATTAGCAGAGAGATTACTTTTTCAAAGGCTGTGATTTAATTTAGGACAATCATATATGGACAAGGGAAGTGTTACAGATGCGGAATCTCAAAGGACATAAAAGACGTGGACTGCAGTGGAATTTCACCAGTGCTGAGACAATGCCATGCAAAGCAAGAGCAGGTACAGCATGAAGCATCCTCACTGCTGTTCACTGAGCTAAGCTGAGCTGTGCACAGCAGGAAGGGAACATCCAAAGCCTCAGACATAATCCTAAACTGATTAAATCATGATATATTTACTTTCTACAATGGTGATGCGGTACAAATGTAAAACATGGGTTCAATGTATAAGGCCTGGGACAGAAATATTTCCCTGGCTGGGGAATTCACACAGGATACATACAGGAAGGATATTGTCCATAAAGCAGGTGATAATAAAAAGTGAAGCCTGGACCCTCTATCCTATATAATTTTTTATGAGAGTGGCCAAACTCAGACTGAAACAAATTACAAGTGAGGAAATATATTCCTTGCAGTGGCAGCAAAACAGGACATGGTTCAGTCCTGCTTCTCTGGAGACACAACCCTAACGCTTTGAAGATTTTATGTTCTGACATGAAGGGTTGAGAGGCTCATCCCCATGAGCAGGGGCTTACACAGCTTTGGCGGGAGGACACAGCGGTGGCTACCTGCGCGTGTTGTGGAGTTTGCCACCCTTGCAGACGGCTGCCTTACAGCCAGCTTGGGCCTGCCTGCCAAGGTGTGTCTGGAGGCAGGCTCCAGCACTGACCATCCCACTCGCAGTGTTCTAAGCCAGACCTGCAGAAGCTTAGATGGTGTCTAACATGCTCTGCCCAGCGCCTGGGGCCACTCTGCATGGGGGCACTTTCTTGAGTGCAGCATTAAGGCAGTTTAGACATATCCAGATTAATCCAGTGCTCTGTGAGCTGGCTGTGTAAAAGGAACATGTACTCAGAGAAGTGTGCCCAGTGTGTATTGATCAGAGGGCCTTCGTCTGACCTTGGGCCTCAGGCTCTTCAGGTAGAGAAAGAAATCCAACAATGAGCAAGCTGTCCTCCAGATCTGTTCATGGAGAAAGAAGTGGAGCAGAAAGATCTTCACCATTAGCAGACCCCATAAAGAGAGTAGGACAGGATCTGTTAGCTCCTGCTTCCTTCTGAGGAGCAAACCACTTTGAACAGGGCAGTTTAAAGGACATGGAGAGTTAGCCTGTACCTCCAAAGCCTCCTCCTTCTCATGCCAGCACAAATGGCAGAGCTGGGATGGGTGGAGGAGCAACTGTACCTCAGTGGATAGAGCAGAAGTCATGTTACCTGTACTGCGGTGGCTCCAGGGGAGTGTCAGCCAACCCAAGGCACACTTGTAGACACACTGCATGGAGCAGAGCGGTGATGCCTCTCTTTGTAAGTGGGGCATAGAGAATGGTGAGCCACTGGGGTCTGGCCTTGGAGTCAGCAGTGCTCTTCTTACATCCTTGGGCAATCCTTTCCACTTTTCAGCCTTTCAGAGTCCAGTGTTCCTGTCCCCAGTGGCATGCTCACCAAGTGGGCCCCAGATTTAAAATAACCTTCTGGTTTGTGTCTCGCTTTCCACATCTGCAAAGTGGAAAAGGTGATTCAATTGGAGATCTACTGCTGTGAATTAACTGGTACAGATGAGGTATTTATTATTACTGTTACTACCATGGCAAGTACAGTGTACAAATCTGAATGCATTTCTTCAGGATTTAGAGTGCAGTGGATATAGAAGGGCTCTCAGAAATCAAATTTGGGTGAAATAACAGATGACTTGAAGTTAGTGTTATTTAATGTATTACAGTATAACTGTACTCTGCCTTATGAAACAGCCCAAGAAAATCCTATTATCTATCAAACCAATGTAATTAAAAAATTCCAGCCTAAATATAGTTGGAGTTTGACCTGCTGGCCAGCATTTTAAGGCTTGAGCCATCAGGCTCTAATAAATTGGGTCAGACTACATACATTGGTCCTCTTTCAAAGCCATTTCACAAGTGTCACTACAACTCACTAATTTTACATGTGAACAACAATCAGATTTTATCTCTACCCTAGATATTGAATAAAGGGGTTTTAGGTACAGGTCACTGAATTTGATCAACAGCTGTTCAGTAAGGGAAGAGATCAAATCACACACAACACAGTAATTGAGTCCAGATGTTTAAAAGACAAGCTCCAGCTCAAGCAGGAATTAATTACATGAAGTCTTACAAGCTGTGTTATACGGAAAACAGATGAGAAGATCACAACAGCCCCTCTGGTTTTTCATTAAAAGAATATAACAAACAGTTTAAAGCAACTGACCACATTTTGGCTACAAATAGTTCAGTGAACTCAAACTTGCTGTTGCATGCCCCAGTCAGTGATTTACTGGTGCACCTTACTGGTGGTAACCTCAGCTTAGGCAGTGCTGGAAAAACACCAAACCTCTACACCACATTTACTGTGCAGCAGCACTGAACCAGACTGTCACTGTTCAAAGGGAAGGAAGAACCAGGAAATGCATTGTTTTGGGATCCACAGGACCACTGGCTCTTAGAGGCACCCCTCAAGTGGAGCAAAATTTTTATAGATACGGTGTATTCCATACATGGGTTATAGTGTATTCCATACATGAGTTCTGGTGCATCCTGTACATGGGTTAATAGTGTATTCCATACATGGGTTGTGGTGCATCCCATACATGGGTTATGGTGTATTCCGCACATGGGTTATAGTGTATTTCATACATGGGTTATGGTGCATCCCATACATGTGTTATAGTGTATTTCATACACGGGTTATGGTGCATCCCATACATGGGTTATAGTGTATTTCATACATGGGTTATGGTGCATCCCATACATGTGTTATAGTGTATTTCATACACGGGTTATGGTGCATCCCATACATGGGTTATAGTGTATTCCATACATGGGTTATGGTGCCTCCCAAAATGGGGCATAGCTCAGATTTGTGAAGGGTATTGAATACTTTTTCAATTTTGTGGTTTGGGCAGAATGAAGAACTATCTAGAACC